GGATCAAACCATTCATTTAAATCTTTTCATGATTTATATGTAAAGATATTAAATCAATTATTGATATAATTACTTCAACATGTCACTTAAAGTTTACATCACATCGAATTCAATTTCGTTTATTTATTTAGTATTAATTCACATAGCTATGATCATTGGATTGCAATGTTATTAAACTTTAGGTTTTTCTTAAAAATCTGTACTAATAACGTTATTAAATAAAAAGAATATATTCTTATGTAATATTTCTCACCCATACTGTGCATGTGTGTGTGTGTGTATTCACACCTTGTCGATCATTTTAATGTTGTTCACTTTTATATTGTAATAAAAGTTACTCAATTATCGTCTCTTATAATAGAGTGTTAATGCAGAGATATATTTAATAAAGAGAGAGAGAGAAAAGATAGATACATTCGATTAGTTTTTATTCGTTCGGGGTCGAACATAAGATGTGAGATAGTGATCGTTCCTTTTTTTTACCAACCCAATTATACTCAAAACAAAAGACAAAAAAAAAAATTATTATTATTATTATTATTGAGTAAGACATTAAAACAAAAATCGAATACCATATTTATTTAAGCATATGTTTCTGTAACGGTTGAGCGGCTTGTTTTTAAATATGGTTTATGAATGTTTTCGTTTCTATATGTATGACATTGTTGTCGTTTAATTAAACATGGTTCTTCAGGTGCTAAAAGACTATCAACATCGAAACAACGTTTTCGTTGATTTTCTTTTATTGGATTTTGATTTATATGAATTGATTGTTCTGAAGATAAATATTGTTGTTGTTCACAGTTAGATATGACAATAGGTTGTATATCATCAAAATAATTTTGTAGAAAATTAGATGGAACAATTCGATTTTTTGTTTGTGATAAATCAGTTATTGGAATCTTTGATATAGAACTAAAACAAAAATGAAATATTTTTTTTTTTTTTTTGTAAAGTTATATTCAAAAATTATATGAATATAGAAATTCATTCATTGTTGCAATTGTCAACGATTATGATTAGTGATTATCAGGTGATAATCACTAATGGATTTCTTTGATAGATAAGAAACGAAAGAGGGAGAAAATGGGAACATTTAACAATGAGATTAATAATCTATTGTGACATACAATAAAAAAGTCTTTTGCGATAAAAGATATGTTTATTTATATCTGTAGTTTAAAATACTCAACAATCTGTTTGTAATTTATAATTGCAAATATGTTCAGTAGTACAAGGAAAAGCATTATTCATTTTAAGATACATTTCGTATTCAGTTCAACTATTTGAGAATTGCCGGAAGCACTTAGAATGAAGAATCGTACATCTCAATGAAAGGTGTCGAAGATATACGATTGAGTCTTCTCGGTAGAGCCTATCGGATCCAAGAAAATTTGGACCCGGACTCGATGAGCTCTAGTTCTCAGGACTTTCTTAAATATCAAGAAATTTCACATTTTTTGCTTCCTGATTTCCATTGCAACACCGCTGATCTTTTTTCAATGACTTGCGACATTTATAGACTTATATAAATATTTTATATCGATACAATAAGTTTTTACCATGAGAGATCCTGCTCTCCGAACTATACTGAAGTAGAGTTCTACAAGTAGGGAGCTGCGGATCTAAAATTTTATTTTTTTTATCGAGTCCGGGGTTACCCTTTCATTTTTTGTCGGACCAGATTACATGTTTTTATGAATCCGCTGTTTCCTAGATGAGAAATATAGTAACAACATATAACTGTACGTTAAGTTTTTCTTCAGAGAGTGACGAATAAATCGCTAAAACCTTGATTCTCTACTTGCTCATGTACACGAAGGGTGATACGTATAGATGGAAAAAAAACCCGAGTTGGGATTCAACCAGGTTCACACTCAAATTTTCAATATTTTTTCGGATCCGAATCGAATCCAGGACCAAATTTTAAATTTTTTTCGGGTTCGGATCCACAAAAACGCGGATTCGTAGTTCCCTGTCTGCAAGACAGATCGTAGAAAATTTTGAAAACAGAAGAAGATGGGACAGACGGCATTTTGAACTCAAAAAAAAAAAGTTTTGCCCCGCAAGACTCTATTTTGGAAACAGATCAGATATGAAGTAATTTTCATTATATGGTTTTTGAACAATTCATTTATGAGAAAAAAAAAAATTTTTTTTTATTAAACTTACTTTTGAAAATGATGTTCTGTTTCATTAATCGGTAAAATTTCATCGTCATCATCATCATCATCTTCTTCAGGTATAGATAAACCCAAACTTTTTCTAACACGTCGTTGTGCTCGACGTCGTCGAAAATCTCCACTTAAAAAATCAGCTAAATTCGCTGGATGAATACTCCAATAATGACCTTTACCATTAGCTGAACGACCAGCTTTAATAAAACAATCATTTAATGAAAGATTATGTCGAATTGAATTACGCCAACCGGGACCTCGTGCACGAAAATATGGATAATGATCTAATATCCATTGATAAATATCAGCAAGAACAAGTCGTCGTTCTGGTGAATTTAATATAGCCATAGCAATAAGTCCAATATATGAATAAGATGGTTTAGGTTCTTCACATAATCGAGGATCATTTTGTTGATAAAATGAATATGGAGTAGATATTAATGATCCATTAAAACGAAGACGTATGGCATAATCATAAAGTTGTTGATGAGCTGCAAATAACATTGGATAATTTGAAATATCTATTGATACTTTCTGCATGAAAGTTTTATTTTATGTTATATGTCAAACAACTTGATTGGTAAAAAAAAAGAACGATTTGCTCTGTTTCTCTCATGTTCACTGTCGTTTCTCTCTTGAAAGAGAGAGAGAGAGAGAGAGAGAGAGAAAGAGACGAAGAGAAAAATGCAAAACATTTGTATGCCGTTTGCTTCACAAAAAAATAAACAGCATATATATATCTATCGGGCAACATTCTTTTTATCTTATTAATAAGGAACAAAAAGAAGCTATTTTTGATTGGTTAAGAGAAAATTTGTTTCAATAAAATCCTCATTGGATGAAGTATAGAAAAAAAAAAACAAACGCCAATGATTTATCTAATTAACTACTGATATATATTTAAAAAGACGTGTCATGAACAGGGTAACCTTCAATCTTAGAAATATTTTCGATCTTTTTTTTCGTTCATCAATGCGACCTTGGAACAAACATTCTCTATACTCTACAGTTAATTCATTCGTTATTCTTTTTAAATAATATAACGATCAATTTGTCATTATAAACTACTTTCCCTTGTTCTCTTTATTTTAATTGTCAATAGCAATCTTATAATACGGTTGAATGATTTTTACGTCATTAGTACTTTTTGTTCTCTCTTACCATACCAAATGCTCTTTTTTTTTCGTATCTTTTGATTCATCAAAAGTCTAATCAAATCTGTCACTTTATAAATGTATGCTTTAAGTCCTACCTCTTTCTCTTAAAGAGAAAAAAAAGAGCCTATTGTGAGAACAGTTGACTGTTAATTGATCGAGAAAGCATGATTTTTTTTTCTTCTATAATATCATATATAATGATTTTATATTTCAATTTGAATATAAAAAAAAGAAAAAAAGAAAAAAAAAATCTGAAGATGCTTATCAATCGACAAGAAAATTACAAGCCAAGCAATGAAAGAAGTTGAAGAATCAAAAAAAAAAAGAAGAAAAGAAAAAATTTTAACTAAGAGAAGGACATGTCATCATTTATTTTTCTTTGATTCAAACCATCAATAACATTATAGATTTTGTCATGACTAAATATGTTCATTCTTTTCTAACAAAAAATAATACTAACGTCTCATTGAGACTCATTGATAGAGTACGTATATAGAGAACGAAAAAGCATGTTGAATCAAATCAATTTAATAAAAAGCATCGAAGTAGGATGATGAAGAAAAAAAAAGAGGCGAACAATAGTTGATGATCTCTATGCATGAGAATGTTAGACTGATTAAATTAAATATAAAAGTTGCCGAACTTTAAGATGCCTACTTGAAAATACAAAATGTTAATTCTCAAAAGAAAAATAGATTCTGTCGGAGATTTTTCAAAGTTACAATAGAATATTCCGTAAATGTGAATTATTCTTGAATTCAAATCGAAAAAGAAACGTATACTCTACAATTCATTCGTAGTTTTTTTTGAGACAAATACGATTTAATCATACTGTTTAACATCGGAAAATGAACACTTCATATCCATTGTACAAATAATATTGATGTGTCTCGCACTTATTTCTTTTGTTATTAAATAAATGTGTGATCAATTTCTATCATATATTGTTGATGACTACTATTCCATCTGTTTGAAAATTTGAGAAGGGAGCCGTTGGTCGAGCAATTATTCGTCGAAAAGACGATTCGTCGAATGTCGAATGATTTTTCGTCGAATGAACTATTCGTCGAAAAATTTTCGTCGAAAAATAATTGGTCGAACGAAAATTTGTCGAATGATATTTCGTCGATAGTTACTTGGTCGAAAGATATTTTGTCGAATATTAGAGTAGTAGTATTTACTATTAATTATTTTAGAGTCCGAATATTCGGACTCTAAAATAATTAATAGTAAATACTACTACTCTAATATTCGACAAAATATCTTTCGACCAAGTAACTATCGACGAAATATCATTCGACAAATTTTCGTTCGACCAATTATTTTTCGACGAAAATTTTTCGACGAATAGTTCATTCGACGAAAAATCATTCGACATTCGACGAATCGTTTTTTCGACGAATAATCGTTCGACCAACGGCTACCTCCCCGAAAATTTTGACAAATATATCAATATGTGTCATTCTTCATCTTTGTTTTAACATGCTTAATTCGAGTACATTTCACCTAACCATTAAATGATTAGAATTCTTTTCTTCTACTACTAATATCATAGTACTTAGAAGACAACAAAAAGAAAAACTCTAATGAATTGTTCTTTAAATTCAAGAATGTACATTATGACAAGAAAAATAGAAACGTCGAATGTCATGTTTAATTAATTTTGATTGTTAAAAATTTATTTCTATATAGATTCTCAATGAATGATGATGATAATTTGCTATCGTCACACAAAAATGATTAAACCTGTTGCTATTATTCATTGATAAGCAGGTGTAAATGGTGTCATCAACGGAAATGATTTCTTGCTGTGCTTTTTTCGATGATGACTATAATATCAAAACACGTAAATAGGAATCAATCATATTTAATTTTGATTAACAATATAGATGCACTCCTGAAGAGAAATTGATATCAAATTTGAACATAGATGAATGAGAATCTATAACTGAGCACACAAAAAAAAAACAAAATCTGTCGTGTGTAGTGCAAAATATGAATGATCTGATTGTACACTAATGAATTTTTTTGTTAATACTAAATCTTACAAATGACTAAGTGTATCAATTTATATATTACATCGGAAAATTCACTTATATTCTATAAGTTTTCCTTTTATAAATATAGTATGTACCTAATAATAAAAGGAAATATTTCTAGTCATTTGGGATATAAAAAGACATTTGTAACATCTTATCGATGAATATGACAAGTAGATTAATTAAAATGAGTAGACAAGGGAATTCATTTATTATTTTCTAATAGAACAAAAAACAAAGGCTTAGAAAAAAAAATTTTTTTTTTCCATTAGACGTCAAACAATATATTATCAAGATGAAGGTAAATATTATTTTTAATTTGTAAATCTAGAGATCTGTCAAATTTGAATTTTTTCATCATATTGATATACCGTGCATTTTTTTTTTAAAGTACTTCCTACTCTTATTTCTCGATAGTTTCTTTTGATTATTTTTATCATCTGTTATTACATTGTCAATTAAATATAATATCAACTACATTATGGTAAATAAGAAAAATCATTACCACATATTGAGACCGGCTGAGGTTCAATATGTTGAAATTTCATTCAAACATTCACTAGAATGATTTTCGTCAACGAAAATATCCGTGATGAAATATTATAATATTCTAGGAATGATCCTCCCGATATCATCGGAGTTAAAAAATCATGACTTTGCACATCTACTAGATGTCAGTATTAAATGAATATAATATTTAAGCAATGCATTTTCATATAGACATTCATAATACAGAATTTTTAATTTATTTATATCGACTTTGAAGAAATACAACATTTAGTGCTATATATTAAAATTTAATACAGTCAGAGAAATTTTCGTATTCAATGTTATCATTCGATATAAACACCTGCGATCCTATATCTTTAAACGCTGAAAATGGATGACATTTAGCTAATGTTGTATAGACATTGATCATGAATTGAACGAAATTCATAATGAAAAAGTATAATGTGTGACTAATTTATTCTAAAATAATAAGATAGAAACAATTTTTCAGGCATCATCTGGATATTCATTTGTATTATTCTATACAGACACTGATGATATTCAGCCTTGAATCCAATGATATATATATATCTGACTTCTGCATTAATTGAATACACTCGCGACCTCTACAACTTCCTAAATTCAACTAAAGGCGACTATAAGTCTTTGAATCCAGAGCAGGATATGTGTAAATTTGTTGAGTTAGGTTTTCTCTACCTATTGGTGCACGCAATAGAACTTGATAACACTAGATAAAGAAAGTCTTCCTCTTCAAATCTCCGCATATCCTGCGTGTAGTTAGATCTCAATTAATGACATTCATCAGATTCAATTAGACTTTAATTACAATTGAACATCACTTAATATAAATGTATAAGATCAGTTTTTTATTATTGTCTTTCTCGATTTCTTATTTAGTTTTTAAAGTTTGTAAAATCTGTTCTATGTAATATTCTGTCAAGATAACAGTCGTTCAGATTTTTAAAACTTATATTTTTTCCTTCAAGATCTTAATATTCAAATGTTACAATAAAAACTTCTTAATTAAATTGAAAAAAAAAAAAAAAAAAAAAAAAAAAAAAAAAAGAAAAATAAAATCACTGTAAACTACAAATTGATGTACGCGTAGCATTCGATTGTGTTGATTTAGGTTTTATAGGTATTGAATTTTGTGGTTCTTGTCGTACAATTGTTGCTGTTATAACACTTCTTGCATCAGTATCACTTTTCGGTAGAACAATATGCATTAGATTAGCAGTTACTTGACGAAATAAACTTTCAATTGATTCACCGGTTTTAGCCGAAACAAAAAATGCTAACATATCATGATCTTTAGCAAATTGATGATGTTTTTCTGCTTTAACAGCACGTAAATGTTCAAGATCACCTAAAGCAAAATTAAAAGAGATAATGAATTTTCCTAGAATTAATTTTTATATGTTAAGTTATTCTAAAGCGCGAGAGATCTTACGAGGGAAGTCCTTCAACTGTCAAATTGCTTTTGAGTCGGGAGTGTATGTATAATGTAGGTCCTAATGAGCTATGAACACCCTGAAAAGGGTTCGTGCTGCTGAGATATTGCATTTTTACGGTATTTTTAATTAGAAAGCCGTAGTCTCCCTCAGGAACACGAGGGAAACTGATTTTCGAATTTCGAATTTCGACTTGAAACTTTGCACATAGATAGGCCTCAATGAGAATAGTTTACTATGAAAGTTTCAGATCTTTTAGTTATTCCTATGCTAAGATACAACTATAGTAAAAGTGTGCTGTTATATTGCCTATATAGATCGACGAATTCCGATGTTCTTATTTGAGACTAGGAGCAATCAAATGATCTGAAACTTTCACAGTA